CCCCAGCGCAATCTCGAAACTCAGGTTGCCTCTAAGCTGGGGGTTCAGGGCCCTGAGCTTACCCACCACGCACTGCCTCGACCTGCGGATCGCCCACCCCTGCTGGCAAGGGTCAACGACGCACCGGGTGAGCTCGTACAAATCGCCGAGGAGAGTTTCCAAGGTAACCATTCCTTGTCTATCCGAGTTCTCGGCCACGAAAAAAGGCTCTCGAAGATCCCGCCGCTGCCGAGCAATAGCCACGAGTATCCAGGCGTGCTCGCCATGTTCGTTCTCCTGCAGGCCGTACGAAGAATCGTGAACGCATGGGGCTCCGAATACATGAACATCAGCACGAGCGATTGCTACAGACTGACCAACCCGAACGCACCAAGCATGCCTCAAGGTGGGCTGAGCCATGATTAGTTCTTTGCGCCTGTCGAAGTCGAACCTCGGGGTGTCGAGGACCTCTTTGCGGACACTTGGCCTGAGGAACTCTGCGACGTCCCCGTAGATGTGGTTCGGGCCATCAATGGAATGAAGAGCTTCCTCCTGACAGTTTGGATTTTTCTCGCACGCCCACGCGCATGTCACACGAGCCGCCTCGTTACACTGATTAGCTGCAGCACGCGAGGCATACAATGGAGTATCGATCCCACTGCAGCAAGTGCTGATCTTTAAATCACCACAACCAATACTAACAGGAAAACGCGCGCCAAGGTCAAAGAGACGATCCGCTCCATCACGCGCCCAGCGAAAAGAATCAGACACGGCGTGGCATGTAGCGATGCTCATCGCAACGCAAGTCGGGAGCCCTGAATGCCCCCGCGCACACTTGAACAAACGGCAACGGACCGAATGTAATCGCAATATGCGGAGTCGTGATCTCCGCAGGGGGGTCTATGGTGTTTGGGGAGGTCTGTGGGGTCCTGGACCCCACAGGGGGTGGTCTGTGGGGTCATGGACCCCACAGGTGGTGGTCTGTGGGGTCCTGGACCCCACAGGGGTGGGTATGTGGGGTCCTGGACCCCACAGGGGGTGGTCTGTGGGGTCCTGGACCCCACAGGTGGTGGTCTGTGGGGTCCTGGACCCCACAGGGGGGGTCTGTGGGGTCCTGGACCCCACAGGGGGGTCTGTGGGGTCCTGGACCCCACAGTCTGTGGGGTCCTGGACCCCACAGGGGGGTCTGTGGGGTCCTGGACCCCACACTCAGGGTCAACCCCACAGGGTGGGGTCTGTGGGGTCCTGGACCCCACAGGAGATGGTCTGTGGGGTCCTGGACCCCACAAGGGGGGTCTGTGGGGTCCTGGACCCCGCAGGGGGGGTCTGTGGGGTCCTGGACCCACAGGGGGGTCTGTGGGGTCCTGGACCCCACAGGGGGGGTTTGTGGGGTCCTGGACCCCACAGGGGGGTCTGTGGGGTCCTGGACCCCACAGATGGGGTCTGTGGGGTCCTGGACCCCACAGGGGAGGTCTGTGGGGTCCTGGAGGTCCTGGACCCACAGGGGGGGCATGTGGGGTCCTGGACCCCACAGGGGATGGTCTGGACCCCACAAGGGTGGTCTGTGGGGTCCTGGACCCCACAGTGAGGTCTGTGGGGTCCTGGACCCCACAGACCACCTCTCTGGGGTCATGGACCCCATGAAGTATTGGGTCCACCATCACCCAGGTGTTTCGTCACCAGTTGTCCCCCGAGCCACTTGCTCCCCCGAGTTTGTCGTTACCATTTGCCCCCCTGAGCTGCTCGTGAGGACCAGCGGAGAGCAGGAGAGGGAGGCAGGGAGGGGTGGCCTGCAGCGGCGAAGCAGAAGAAGACGTCGCAGTAGGTGTCGTGGTAGGCCGCTCCGAGCTAGGTGGTTCGAGCCCAGCCGGCGGGCCGCGGCCCCCCTCTGTGTGTGTCATCTCTCTCTCTCTGAAGTCTCTCTCTCTCTCTCGCTCTCTGTATATGTGATACGTTTAAGTATCGTTCTCTTTCTCACTCTAGTAGATATACATGTCCTCCCTCCCTCTCCCTCCCTCTCCTTCCTATCCCTCCCTTTCCCTCCCTCTCTCTCGCTCCCTCGCCCAAAACACTCAAGGGCTCCGAACGCTCGAGGATGTCACGTCCAAACCTCCAAACTCGAGGGCTCCAAACACCCAAAAGGATCCAAACACTCAACCAGGGCTCCACTCCAAGCACTCAAGGGCTCCAAACACTCAAGAGGCTCAAATCATTCTAACAAGGCTCCAAATACTTGGTCCCAAACACTCAAACAGGGCTCGCACTCAAAGGCTCCGAACATTCAATGGGGTCCACGTCGCAGGACGCTGAGTGTTCAACAAAGCGAATGAGGACGATGAGGGGGAGGGGCGAGGAGGCAGAGGAGGGGGGAGGGGAGGAGGAGGAGGAGGCGGAGCGCGAGGAGGAGGCGGCGGACGAAGGAGGAGGAGGAGGAGGAGGAGGAGGAGGAGGAGGAGGGCAACGGTTTCCCCCTGTCACTGCGCCCGTCCCCAGAGCGCTAGTCTGCAAACCCTATGTCGACATCATCAGCGCTCGGGCACGACATGCAAAAGAAACACCCCGGTAACTCGTGGAAGTCCGGGGGGAGCTGGGAGCAGCAGTGCGCGAGCGTGGACTTGTAGGTCTTGACCCACAGCTCCTGCACGGCGCGCTTCTGCTCGAAGCTGCGAAACTGGACGTTGTCCGCGCGCAGCTTCTCCCAAGGCGCAAGGTGGCCTTCATCGGGCCGCAGGGGGGCGGCAAGAAAGGAGGAGCTCGAACGGGGGGGGGCGAGGGAGGAGGAGGAGGAGGAGGGGGAGGGGAAGACCATCTAGAGCTCCAAGAACTCTACTTGCCAGGGGGAGGAGGAGGAGGAGGAGAAGGAGAAGGTGGAGGAGGAGGAAGGGCTCGGGTGTCACCGTTTTGTTTGGGTTGCCAAGACTCCCTAATTATTGCCCAGAGCCTCCAGCAGCCTTCAAGAGTCTCCCAGGGTCCTCCTCCCAAAAGCCCGCAGAGCCACCCACTCCAAACCTTGATCTCCTCTTTGTTTTGATCATCCTCCTCCAGCCTCCCAAGTGCTCCACCAGCACATCCTGGCAGTGGAAGTGCCACGACATGCCGCAACAAGGGCACAAGAACTCCCCCTCCAGCATGCATACCACGCACACGCCTGCTGGCCTCCCACGGTCCATGCAGCGGTCGGCGAACTTGCGAAATATGACCATCTCGGGCGTCATGTCGTTGCGCCGATCGCCTTTGGCCTGGAACATTTTCCCTCCAGTGTTGGGCACGACGAGTTTGAAACGCTTCGCAGCAAAACTCTCCCTGGACACGGCAGGCTTATAATTGATCTTGCCGTCGGGTACTTGAATATCCCTGCCGCTGCGACTGGCAAAATCATCCCAGTGGATCCAGCGAAGCACGTGCTGGTCGGTGTCGGCGTCCTGGAGAGCAACCAACGAAATCGTGCCTTTATTCTCCACAACTACCCGGTCAAGTCCATTCACATACTCGAACGCCATGCATAAGTCAACAACGGTAGAACCCCACGTCCTCATGATCTCGTTGATGCGGTCCTGATCTAAACCCATTTGAAATACATCCGGATCTCCATCGTCGCCACCAATGGTATCAATATGTGGCACAACGTCGTCAGGCTCTGAATCTTCATCTTTCTTTTCATCATCGTCATCTCCAACGTTGGTAACTTTGTCCTCGTCACCAGGATGAGGAGGCTCGCTGATGTCGTCGTCGGGCTCTTTATCGTCATCACCGCCCTCGAACTCTCCACCTTTGCCAATGTCCTTCATGTAGTCATCTGCCCACCCACGGTCATGGTCATCGGCTGGCATTTCTTCGGCGTCTGGTTTCGCAGATTTGTTGAGCTCTTCCCACATCTCCGCCATCAGCTCCTGAGTGGCCTCATCCCATGCGGAATTGCATTTGCAGTTTTTCTTGAAACAAACTTTCTTTGGCTTCTTTGGTCGAGCAGTCCTCGACGCAGTGTGGAAAGACTGATTGTCCCATTGTATCTGCACACGCGTTGCCGAAACAGTGCGGTCGAACATCCTGGAGTGCATATCCATGATGACATCGTGAAGCCGACGCCTCTTGATGGGGGACGAAACGCGGAAGCGGCTGGTGTCGGCGTCGCCGTCCACTCTTGTTCCCCACATGCAACTGTAGTACTTGAATGAAGGCACCCAACCCTCGTATATCGTTGGTTGCCCACGTTTACGGATTTCGAACATTATGATCTGAGTACTTGTCGGTTCCCACTTGCGCAGTAACTCCCGGCAACAAGAAAGGAGGTGGATCACGCACCTTGTAGGTTCGCTTGGTTCGCTTATCTTCTTTTTTTTGGTCGGCCTGGGCTCCTCTGGTCTCTCTGGTGGCGGGGGTGGAGGCGGCGGCAGCGGAGGCGGGGGAAGTGGAAGTGGAAAAGGCGTTTGCCTTGCTAGCTGCGACTCCTCGGACGTCGCTGGACTGGGCAACGCCAGCGGGGCGCTGACGCTTGATGACGACAGCGGAAGTGGTGGGCCTGTAGCAGAGTCCGCTGCCGCTTCTTCCACTTCGGAGTAGAAGCGGGTGCGATCCTGAAGTGCTCTGACAGCAGCTTCATGAACTTCCACTGACGCCTGCACCTCGTCCTCGATAGCAAGGTAGTTACTTCCTGGCATTGCTTCGGGCATTGTCTTTTTCGCAAGCACCCGACTGTTCAGCAATAGTAATCCAATGTTGGGTGACATCTCTATTGCCTTCTTTACTATGGAATTCATTCCTTCGACCTCCTGCGCATCGGCCGCGTGGAGGCCGCCAAACACTTGGAGGATTCGGAATACGTCGGCATCAATAACACCATCTTTTTCCACGACTGAACTGAGTTCCGCACCAAACACCAAAGCAATTTTATATGGCGTGCCAGCCCGCTGCGCCTTATTTGCCCTCTCTAGGTGGTCCAGCAGTTTTTGAGCCACCCGAACCCGCTGTGGACAACAAGCCGAGGGGTGCGAGAAACATAACCAAAGAACATCTAAATCCAATTAGCGAATGGGCTCCATGATTCGCATGTGGAAGTCGCAGGATATCTCCAGTAGGTGTAACATGCACATGTTGTGGAGATCAATCATGTTAGTGTTGGCATCCGTGTGCTTCCATACCTTTCCCCACTTCGAAACGTCATTGTATGAGCCCTCCTCGAACAATTTGTCTAGCTCATTCATGAACTCATTCCCCATGCCGTAGACCAGCTTCTGCACAGCAGATCGTTTCTTCTCGAGTGACTCCGCAGACATATCTGATAACGCAGTGGCCAGCTCGCTTTGTTGCTCACGGCTTTCGCCAGCTCTTTTTTGTAACCAACACATCATGCCATGGATCGGCTCCCTGGTCACCTGCGTAGCGGCCATCAGCGCCCAGCGTTTAAGATCATTCGCAGCTTTCACAGCGTCGTTTTTCCACCGAGTGAGCTTCGTAGCGTAGTCCTCGCCGTTCGCGTCTTCAGTGAGAGTAGGGTCAACTGGGCGAGGAGCAGGGGAAGCTGTCCCCTTGGGGTCGAACACTTTGTTGAAGACAGTCGATGTTTCTGGCTGGGAAGCTCGCAGAAAGAAAGCGCCCACCTCGTGGATTGACCCGAGCCTGCCCCTGAGTACTCGAGGTGGTAGGCGATGAGCAACCTGCTTCATCCGATCAAATCCAAACTCCTTCTCCCAGCACTGGCGTATCTTCACCGAGTTGGATGGCGCGCGCCATGTGTTGGACTTCTTTGCCATATTTGAGAAAAAGCTGCCTGTTCTTTTCAGCTGGCGTTTCACGATGAGGTGAAGTTGGTGCTGCAAGCACCAGACCCAAGCCACCCACGAAAACACTTTGTCGGCGAGCAGGTTAGTTATTTGATTTCTGCCTCCAACATTGTCTGGGCCTTTGTCTGTTCCAAAAGATAAGATTGATACGTGGAAGAACTCAGCGCCCTTTGCGTCCGCACAACCGCTCTCATCATCAGCTCTGTCTTTCCACGTAGCCAAACCTTGTCGGTGAAGTTGGTGTTCCCACATTTTCATTGTGTTCGCTGCCGAAGAAGACATGGGGACATATGTAAGATCGGGGTAGTGCTTGGACGCGGCAGTGAAATCAGAAGCGCCCCGAATGTCTGGATCAATATCAATATCGTCCGGCAGTCGGGGTGTATAGAAAATGCTAAAGACGTCCGCACTGAACAACTTGTAGGACTTCCAAGCAGAGCTGTTCGTCGCCTCGGAGTGCCAGCAACTCCCCCCTTACGGGTTTCCGCCTTATGATCGATGGGACTGGGTTGCGGAAAAAGGGAGCGGTACGAGTCGTAGGCCCGACGACCTTTACCATCCCCATCCCCTTTCCCTCTCCCTCCATCCCATCCGTCTACCGCCCGCCCCATCCCTCGCTACCCAATCCCATCGATCATATGAATGAAACCCCAGCTCGAAAACCTGGCGTTCCGGGCGTCATCGAATCGATCGAATCGGGGGGGGGAGACGAAGTCTCGGAGATGAGGGAAGGCAAGGCCGCTGAGCTCCAAACATCGCTGCGCAGCGTGTGGCCCTCGAAACTGATGATGCGCTTGCCAGTGCGCGCGATCCATTCCTGAGGCGACGTCGGCGGCACGACAAAATAAGATTTTCCGAAATCAGGAAACGACGGTCGGGAAGGAGAGGATGTAGGGGAGGAGCCAAGGGTGGAGGATAGGGAGGAGCAGCGGATGCAAGAGCATGGGCAGGAGCAAGAGAGCAAGAGTAGGAGCAAGAGCAAAGCAGTGACATGTATCCTGAACTCCAGATATGTTCGAACACTCTTGAAAACGTCGTAGAACCTCATAGGAGTCACGGTAGAATATCCCAATTCTGGAAAACGTGGCGGCACGGTACAAGTTTTCGCACTTCACGACTTGGTATCTCTTGACGTCAACCTCAAGCATCTGGGCTGTGGCCGCGGCGCTGGAGTACCCGATGCTGCGCTTTATCCCGAGGCGATACATGCCAGGAATCTCCATGTGGTGGCGCACTCTCTGACCATCTGGAACTTTCGAGTCCTTAACGTACTTTTTCTTATTCATGCCCCGCCACAGTTCAGACATTCCATTTTTCAAGATTCCAATGATAATATCTTTTTCTCTACACTCTCTCCTCGCCTTGTCCCTTTCTTTTCTCAACCTCGATACATCTTTCGTGTGGTGACAAACTGTGTCCACTAACGCATCATGGGACATGAGACGGCAAGCTGCTGCAACGAGTGACTCTCCAGTGTCGTGAACAAGAGGAACCACCATGGACGAGGCCGCGGCCGATGCAAATGCAGACGCTGCTTGCCGATCAATCTCATGAGCTGAAGTGCGAATGTCAACGCCCTTGGAGGATAATACATGCAACACATCATCGACAGTGCACGGCGGTGCACCGAGCGCGGCGATCAGGAGCTTCGCTGGCGCATCCTCGACGCGGCCGCCGAAAGCGGTGACGACATAGTTGACAACGGCCTCCAGCTGGGCGAGCGACCTCAGGCACACAAGTCTGTCGCCCTCACCACCGTGAAATCGGCATCCATGGACGGCGAGTGCCCTGGAAAGCGCATTCACTGACGAGTTGACCATTGAGCCAAAATGGCTACAGTGTTCGGCACAATTGTGCAACGCAGTGCAACGATAGGACGCAATTCAATGCAAACTCATTGAGCAATGCAACGCCAAGCACTGCAACCGACCCCATTGAAGTACACAGCACATGCAACACAATGATGCAATGCAACGCTGAGAACAACAGTTTTCCTACATCCCTATAGTCATCCCCCCATCAATCATCATTGGTTTTCTTCCGCCTCTTTCCACTCATCATCGTTCTTATCATTTACATGTCTTTTTTGCTCCACCTCGTAACATATTGGTCGGGAACTCACCATCGGGCTTGCTCCAAAAATCTGAACGAATGTAAGAGTTACGGGCAGTTGGTCATAAGAAATACAAGCGGTCCTTCCCTAGGGGCGTGCGTTGTTGTTCATGCCTATGTGCTTTTTTGTAGTGGCGTATTGGGAATCTGCTATAATCAGTGGTACGATTGATGGCCAAACCGAACATGATATGTGTTTTTTGTAGTGGCGTATTAGGAATTTGCAATAATTCCTTGGTGCGAGTGATGGCCAAACCGAAGATGATATGTGCTTTGTTTTAGTGGCGTTTTGGGAATTTGCCATAATCCTTTGTACGATTGATTGTCAAACCGAACATGATATGTGTTGTTTTTGTACTGGCGTATTGTGAATTGTCCCAAATCCTTTGTACGATTGGTTGTCCAACCGAACATGAGATATGGAAATTGCCGCAATTCGTAGAACACGCTCCCGAAATGCATGGAAAACGCGCTGCACGTGGTTGATTTTCTGATAATGGACGACTGGAATCGCGATCGGTCCTGACCCCAGAGGCCGACCCCACAGGCCGACCCCACAGGCCAGGATCGACGCAGAACAGAGCCCCCAGCCACATCCTCAGTGCATGTTGAACTCAGCGAGGCTACGCAAACCACGCTCACTAAGCCGCAAGCCGCACCGTACACTAAGTCAGCCGTAGGCTAGGCGGTAGGCAACAAGCGGCCGCCATGGCGCCCGAAGCTGACGAGGAGAGCGAAAAGGGCCGTCTCAGCGCTTCGAGAGCTCGTCCTCCTTCTTGAAGATGTCGACGGGCAAGCTCCGCGCTCTTCTAGGCAAAGCCCTCGGGCGATCGGTGATGAGCTGGCAGGCCGCGCAGAACGACCCGCTGGCATCCAGGCGCGCAATCCTCCGCACCTCCCCGCACATCTCGCAGGTGCGGCGCCCGAACTCGCTGGCAGAGGACACCGACCTGCTGGGATCCAGCTCTCGAGAATTGGAAGGCGACTCCACCAACGCAATGATGGAGTCCGCGGCGGCCCCCGCCACGCGCGACCGCCGGCCTGGGGACCGCCATCGAGGAGTTTCCCTGTCCTTCGAGGAGGAGCTGCCCGATCCCATGCCCGTGCGGCGCACCACCTGGGGCCTCGCCAGGAGAGGGCGACGGCCCCTTCAAATCTGAACGGCTTGAATGATGGCTTGAGCTAAAAGGGCTACGGAATAAAAATCAATGATTTGGGGCTCTTCGGGCCCTCTTCGGGACGCCTCTCGAAGGTCTCTTGGGCCCTAATTGACGGCCTTCTAGACTCTTCGGCGATCCTGGGATCCTGGAAAGGCGTCGGGGCGTACTGCTTGATAGCGTCTTGGGCTGGTTTTGTTGCGTTCTGGGGGTTCTTTGGGGGCGTTTTGGGCCGTCCTGGGGCACTTTAGGCCTCCCTGGCAGGCGGGGGCGCGGTACCAGGAGTGCCCCCTAGATCCCGGGGAGGCGATATGTGGGAGCCCCCCCCCACCAAGACCTACCTAAACAACCCTTTGATCGAGGAGATCTGGTCTAGCCGCCGATCAGAGGGTGGCATGGCGGGAGAGAGTGGGAGGGCGAGTAAACGGGAGAGCGGGAGAGCGGAAGGCGGGAGAGCGGGAGAGCGGGAGAGCGGGAGAGCGGGAGAGCGGGAGAGCGGGAGAGCGGGAGAGCGGGAGAGCGGGAGAGCGGGAGAGCGGGAGAGCGGGAGAGCGGGAGAGCGGGAGAGCGGGAGAGCGGGAGAGCGGGAGAGCGGGAGAGCGGGAGCGGGAGAGCGGGAGAGCGGGAGAGCGGGAGAGCGGGAGAGCGGGAGAGCGGGAGAGCGGGAGAGCGGGAGAGCGGGAGAGCGGGAGAGCGGGAGAGCGGGAGAGCGG